AGATCTTTGGCACTTCCAAGCAGATCCAGTGAATGAACTCAGAAAAGGGTAGGGTGGGGGCTCTATTTCAGACAACAATAAAACAATAAAAACCATAACATTTTTGCATTTACAACAGCAGGACTTTGAATGTCATCTACTGTCAAAGCAATGTCCAGCTGAAGGAGTCCTGAGGAACTTTGCATCATTGGTACCAATGCTGGAAAACTGCTTAACATGAGCTGGCCAACATGGCGAGCAATGTAATGCCACGATACCACCTCTAATTACTTATGTTTATCCATAACATCAGTTTGGAGAATGAGTGGCTTGAAGAAACCTGAGAACAAACATGGCCTCATTTACTGGAAGCTGAATCCCCAAAACTCCTGCTCAGTTTCATAAGGACTGAAGGTGCTGGGCAGGGGGTATTCAATGCTTCGGAGGATAGAAGTCCGTAAGAAGTCAATTATTGTGATATTCTGGCAGGAGGAATTTGAAGAAAATTGCCCTTAAATCTATGACTCATTTTCTCCTGGATTCTAGGAAATTCTCTTTTTGACAGATTAAAAAGTAGTGCAAAAGAATTAAAGTGTGTTGGAACCAGTAAAAGCAGGGGAAAACAGGATCAGGTTTGGCTGCTGTAATCCAGGTAGCAATTAGCTCTAAGTGTACGCATGGCAAAGCTCCGCTATTGGCACGTGGCAAAGGTAAGACAGCAGAAACTGCAGCTGCTCTGGTTAAACGTGCTCAGCGAACTTTAGTGAGTAGTCTAGATGGTACCAATTTATAATGCCACAGTCTATATTGATACAAAATGCTACTGAGAAATTGGTTGACTCTGTGCTCCTTTAAACTTCAGATAATCTTTAGGCCACATCTTGAATTTGTCGCTCTGGCTTTATGAATGATAAAAGAGATGGAGCAGCTAAGTTGGAGTTGCAGGACTTGGCTTCTGACTATTGAGGTGACCATATCTAATATGTATCTATTAAGCATAACCATTCCCTCAAGGCAAACATACTCAGATGAAGAGAACATGGAATAAGGATGTATGAAATTCAAGATAATATTGAGTTAAAAATGGGAATTCACCACCCTCCTTGATTTTACTTTAAAAATGGACCCATCAAAATTTATGAATGAAACTTCTTACTCTTGAAAAAAAATACTACTTAGCGAGACTTTATCTATTTGTCTGAAATTCCAACTAGAAAATACATTAGGAGTATTTAAATATTTCTAAAAGATTGTGAGAGTTTAAAACTTTTTAATCCTTATTCAGTACCAAACTAAATTTTAAATGCCATCTGGGGAATAGCCATATCATGTTGTAGCTAATCAAACTAGTACTAAACAGATAAAATAAATTGCAATTTCCTCCCCCTGTAAAGGTGTTGGTCATTCAGCAGAGACATATTCCTGATTGCATTTTTTTTTCTCAGAAGCAACGGTTGTAATTAAAAAAAAAAAACCCAACGCTGAGGCAAATCTATAACGTGGATTACTGTAGAGTATGGAGAAAATGACCTTCTGAAGTTAAAGAAGAAGCTGAAATAGCTGAATAATTGAAATGTCATAGGAGAAACTGAGCTGGTAAGAAAAAGCAAATATTTAAAGATGAGAAATATTTAACAAGTCACTGGATTAATTTCTCTGTCAAGTTCATCAGAAGCAAATATATTTCTATTTGATGTCAGGGACATCAGGTAGAATCTGACTAATCTTAAGGGCATAAAACAACCTTGGAGGCCTCTTTAGCCCAGAACAGTTTTAATGCAGAAGTCCTGTCAGTGAACATGTATTTTTCAGTGAGGTAGATCTACCTTGGTGTTGAAGACAAACAATTGCATTTTATGAAAGAAAGTTGTGTTTGCTGTATAAATAACTGCTTATTCTTCCATCTTTTACTGCTTGCTCTGAAGGAGCTGCTGTTCTAGCAGAATCCAGCTTTTTTATTACAAGCTAAATGTGAGATACTCCTGTCACTTGACATACACAAGATGTATGTCCCTTCAGGGAGCTGTTCTGAGTTTTTATCTTCTCCTTCACTGGTTTCTCACCATCTCTCCTCCGCGGAAATATCATCGTGATTAAGCCAACAATCACAAATTAAAATTAGACTGAGATTTCAATGTGATTTCTTCATCTCCAGTCTAATTACACAGGCTTAGTAAAGGTGTATACTTCCATGTTTTCAGGCTACTGATTCAAATGGCAACATCCCTCAAATTGTGAACAGCCTCACATTCAAAAGGTTGGGTCTTAGGGAGACCTAATTTCATTAAAAAAAAAGGCTGGGAATAGGTCTCCAGACAGACGCAATGCTTTGAAATGATTAAGAATTAAGAATTCCCGTTCCTCTTAATTCTTCCTAATGACACCGTGTGAATGAAGCTGTTCAATGGAAAGCGGCCAGTGCCCCAGTGAAGACGGACGGATGGCTCCTGCTCAGTGCTCGGTACCTCCCTCCCCATTCTCTTGAAGCAGCTGGGGTCTCAAGGAGCAGAGTCAGTGAGACGAGGGCCACACTCCCCGTGACCGACCACATCGCTGTGCAGACGCTCCTGGGGGGCTGCTGCCCACGGTCGGTGTCACTGCCTGCACTGGGCCAAGGGAAAGCCTCAATTGCTGTTATTTTTACTAATATCTGAAAGGTTTATCTTCAGCGCCTCTTTCATTGGACCAGCTTGTGGAATTAATATCTATGTTAAATACTGCAAAACCTTAGCCATATATTTCAGTTCAGTTTGAATTCTGTCTTTGTGTGTACTACTTTGAAGAAGAACCATAAATGTAATGATCAGGTTATTTAACATGGCAGAGTATACACACTCCTATTTATACTAATGACCATGTCTGTTCCTTTATGTTAAATAAAAAAGATGATTTGTATATGTTTACGGTAGCCCATGATTTAATTTACACACAACTAAATTGGTTAAATTCACAATTTAAACAGTATATCATCTGTATGTACATCCTGTATTTGGACAGTTCCTGTATTATTGTTATATTGATAAAATTAACGTATTAAAGGAATATATAAAGCCCAGCCTAAGCTTGCTCATTGAGCCTTCAACACATGACATTTTAGTGACTGAAAGGGGAAGAAATTAAACAATTTGCATACTTCAGTACTGTAGCAAATGACTGTATTGATAAGGTCACCATGCTAAATTGACATCATCCACACCACATCCAACTTCTAAAAATCCTCCAGTATTTGCATGGTGATGGTTGTAAAAACCTCATTAAGTATCAGACTCTTAAGGTTTTTTTCCCTCTTGCCTGTTTAATAAGCAATTTATTTTTTTAAATTATGAATTCAGTATGCTTTTAATTTACACAGGGAAAAAACCTTGAGTGCTCTGGGGTTTTTTTGTGGTAACATGGCTAGCTGTATAAAATGCCATTTATTCCTCTACTACATACATAATTGCATTTCCAAAGGTAACTCATTGAATCAGATAACTAGCAATTTCTTTTGTAATCAGAACCTAATTAGGTTGTTGTTTACAGTATAAGTGATCAATAGCTTTTATTCTGGATCACACAGTGTCAAAGCTCTAACAATCAGTGATAAATGTAACAGAGATACTGTAATCAAACCAAATGTAAAAAATCTTCAAAAAGTATGTACTATACGGGGAGGTTATTAAAATTCCTGATACTGCTTAAAATGTTTAATGTGCTGAATACAAATGATATTTTAAAGAAAGCTTTGCAGATCAAAGATGGATTTAATAATTGTAATGTTTATGAATTTGTTTTGAAAATATTTCTAATTGGATAATGTCAGACTTTTGAATTATAATGCTACGTTCATTAGCATTTCAATAGGTTATACTATCAACTCCCTTTGACATAAAAGAATTTAATTTATTTTTTAAATCATGAATCTCGTAATCTTTTCTCTGTTGTCACTAGTTTTCAATAATTTGATTAGCTTCTGCAAGAGGAGCAACAGGAACCACATGGGCTTTGCTGGTAATGATGTGCTATACATTTCTTCTCTGAAAGCAGCTCTGCTGCCTTTGAAAGTCATTTGCAGTTTCTTATCAGCACAGAATTAAAGAGTAATATTGTCTAATTTGTTATGTTCAGTGGCACAGAGTATCGTAGAATTCAATCACACACAGAGCTTTGAAACCTATATTATGTGACCATAATCAAGAGTACATAAATGAATTTCAGAATTTATGAAAGTGTTTATTATTAGCTAAGAAAAAGCTCAAAATATGAACTTGTCAATACGTTTAATAATCTCTTAGTAAGATGTGTATTTTGCACACTCCCAAACTTCATTGCAGTTTATAAACCAGTAATTTGTACTTTATAATTGTATTGCAAATAACTGATCTGGACATTTCAGAGCAGGATGGGACATAATTGTGTAAGTCTCATTGTAAATCTGTAAATTCAACGTGATTAACTCCTTACTTGGTAAAGTTATCTTCTACTTTCACTAGAAACAAAAACTGATTACTGTTGATCATTTAGACATAACTGCTTGTAACAGTCAACAAGCCATCACAGTAAGGTATAAAGACAGCCCTTAGGAGAAATGCTGCCTATTTGATGACATTTAAAGCTTTAAAGAATTCCTTCTAGATACCACAGAAGCTCATCATGAGCCAGCACAGGCTGTCAATGTCACTGAATGAAAACTAAAGTGATCAAATCATTTATGCCGGAGATATTGCCATCCAAACTATTAAAACAATTTATGGAACTGGTCTTGCAAACAGTTCATCATCAGCAATGCCACGTTCTGCAGTAGGAACTAGCAGGGTGAGGAAAGCCTGTCACATGGGTGAGTGTACATGATGCTGCCTTGTAATTGGATCAACCATCCTTTTGTGTTGATTTTAGCAGGCTAAGAAATAAAACACAGCTTAAATGATACCTTACTACCTCTTTTCCCTCTATGACGTTGTAATAAGAGAAGTAAGGCATGAAGTTCCTGTAACTTTTTCAGCTGACATTATCAGCTATGTATAAACAAATAATGCTGGTTTAGTAGAGCAAATAAATTGTATGTCATTTTTTATTAAACAAATAGTATAATAACTGGACTATGTTATCACAGTGGAAGCATAGAAGACCATAAACTAGTACAGCTGAAACCCCGTAGCAAAATTTGTTTCTACCACGTATCCTCAAATTTAAAGAAATGTATTTTTATCAAGCTTTCACAAGAGCTGGTTCTTGTTAATGTAAAGAATCTTCACCCTTGTTAAGGCTAGATTATTACAGTTAAAAGATAAACGTGCTGTTAAAAAGTTCTATGCCACACTGTATTTTTATGAGAATTTAACTGAAAGACGTACATGGTATCTGTGTGTGAATTATAATGGCTTCTCAGCAGGGAACGCAGAATCACTTACAGTACGTAAACATTTAAAGAGGAAAATGCTAATACACTGAAAGAGTTTAACATCAGTAGCAATTTACCAAATGAAGAAGTTTCGTGAAGTCCACTCTCTGGGAGAACATTCACCATTAGACAAAAGCCTGGCATCTTTGACAGTCTGAAGTTCAATCCATTTGAAAACCAAAACTACTCAATGAGATAAATAGGATCTTAAGAAAACTGCCATCCTCCTTCTCAGGTAAAAGCCAGAATGAAAATAATTATTATTAAAATAATCCAACCAGGTCGCTTTACAGGTAAATTTACACACCGTCTCTTTAAAACACTGCATGCCCAAAAGCCTTTTGGGTTTGGAATGTAGCACTGCACCAAGTATTTCACAAAGCCTCTAAATATCACAAGAAGCTTTTTTAGAGAGAAGAAAAAAAAAAAAAAATTCCAGCTGACTGAAACTGTTCTAGCAGGAGTGCCTCAGCTTAGCTCCCAGACCTGGAATTCCAGATAAACAACAGAGGACAGGAAACAGAATTTTTTTGTTTGTTTTTACATGTCCTTTTGTTATGCAGCTACAAGATGACTGATGAGCTTAGGAACAAAGAGAGTGAGAGTGCAAGTGTCATCAGAGTGAGCAGTGTGCTTAGATAGAAGCTTGTAGGAAGAGCGAGCGAATTCTCCGAAGATATGTGACTGGTGGAGACTCCTGCTGTGTTGTCTTTTCCAATAGCATTCTGCAAGACACAATACTTTCCTTGGTCATCATTACACATTTTCATTGCAAAATACTTAAATCTACATGGTGAAATTCATCTTTTGTTTGTTCATGTCCCACCCTCCACTGTTACCTATATATCACTGTCACAGATTGAATGATACAAAAGGCACAAAAACAGATGTCAAAATGACAGTATTTTAAAGTTAGGGGATAAAAAACACCAGTACAGCACAATTCAAAAAAAAAAAAAAAAAGTGTTAAAAAATCCCTACTTTCGCAATGGTTTCATGTGTAAAACCTACCCTTGTTAAGTATGGCAATTTTTTTATCAATCTCTGCTTATCATGCCAGTTTAATTTCAAGAGCAAATGCAGAAGCCACAGAGAAACTGCAGCTTCTGCCCAGTCAAGAGAACAACTTGGTTTGACAGCAAGCTCCTTCTGGATAACAATAAATCACATCTAATCCATGGGATCAGAAAAGACAGAGTTTTCTAGCTTATGAAAATTGTCTTTCTCATGCCTTTTTTCCCTTAATTGCTGCATTATTTACATTCCTTGTCTTCTTTGCTATCAATAATTAGTATGCATATGCAAGTGCAGATTGGCAGATTATAGTGAGCTATTTAAGGAGGAGGTGTAGCAGGAATATTTCTCATTGCTATCACCCTCAGTAAAAAGAAAAACCTAACAGGTATAATCACAGAATTAGAACAATTTAGACTAGAAGGGACAATTTAGACTAGAGCATCCGTTTCCACAGGAATGACTGTCTACAGAGCCAGGGAGGCATTCATGGATAAATCTCCATGCCACTCCTTCACTTTGATGTCACCTGCTAGGGCTGGCTAACTGGAAGGCCTTGAGAAGCAAACTGTTAGAAGCAGTAGAGGCATTGGGGGAATTATCACAATATGCTTTCTTATACCCAACCCTGGGCAACAGCTTTTTGGAAACTGTCACAGACAGAGTATAGGATAAGATGGACCAGCAGTTCTCATGGTAAGCTACAGTTAGTAGAGCCTTCTTGTGTAAGGTCTTTTAGTCAGCACAAGATGACAACAGATCTGTTCACATTACTGCCTTGTTCCCTCATGTGTTATTAGGCTTCATTCTAGTATCTACAGGAAATTCTTAATAGAACCTAAAGAATTAGGAATGGGATATAGAACTGTTACTGCTTAGAACTGGGCAAATCTGGACTGGTGAAGGAGAACCTGAAGATACGGTCACATGCTTTTGGTGGCTTATGCCTGCAGAGCTGATCTCGCTCCAATGCCTAGGCTATGTGCTTCCACATTGTAAAAATTAATTTAGGTACATCGCTAATTATTAAGCTTCCTGAGAGACTCAGTACAAAGGGTATGGACTGACAGACATGGAAAACTGATGTAATGTTTACGTCTGAAAGGGGGCCTTGGAGGTCAGGCTGAGCAGACTACTCAAACAGCACTGGGAGATTCATGTCTCTTGGGGCTGTCAATCTGTCTCCTGATGTATGAGCATCACATCTCCTGATGTGAACATCATTTCATGCCCTAAATTGGTAATTTTTGTTAGCCACAGAATGATGTCCAGTATGTTTCTGTGTATTTGTTAAAAGCCATATCATCTTGTGCTTCTGCAGATTATTAACTAAGTATACTTGCTAGGTGCAATGATAATTACCACGGGATTTGCCTAAACATGTGCTATACAGCTATTAAAATATAAAGCCAGCAGACGTCTCTGAGCCCAGCTCCAGATTTCTCAGTAAGATCGTTCTTTAATACATGATGGTATCCAAACATAACAATACTAGCAAGACTTTAGTGTGAGGTAAGCCCACTATAATCTTCATAGACTTTGAACGTTTTATATTATGGGGAGACACCTGTGCTGTGAAATATACAGGATCCACACTCTTACCTCATTAAGACAGAGCTCTGTATCTACAGATTCATTGGATTTCCTCTTCTTCTGTGCCTATGAACAAATGCAAAATTTATTCCCTGTACAATTTATACATACAGCAGCGCAAAACAATTAGATAAGTTTGCATGGGTTGTCATACTCCTGTAATTTTGACAGTGATTTGCACATGATTAGCAAATAAACTCTCCAAACGTAACTGCATGTTTTCCAATAACATTCACATTCTGATTTGAATTTACAACAAAACTTCAAACAGTCAACTAAGGGTACTTAGTAATTACAATGATGAGTGCCATCAGCTGCAGAGAACATCTTAGGTTCTGTGGCCCCTTAAAAATAGGGCTGGATGTTCATGAGAAGAAATGAAATTTGACAGTTAATAATTACCATAATACCACTGCATATTAACAACAAATCTACCATATGCCTCAGTTTTAGGAAAATATACAACACAGGAGTAGTTTATCCTTAATGATTCTTGCAATTTGTCCAAGTATTATTGTGAAAATACAAATATAAGTTTAAAATATTACATGGCTGCCACAGAGTCTCTTCTAGAAAGTTACAAAAAGAACATTTAATGTCTTTTAACATGTACACCTGTAAGTCAAATTGAGATGTTTGTTTACATTGCATTCACTGATTATTATACATGGATTATTATTAAATACAGGAATATATTAGATGATCAAAAACTAAAAAATTAATCTGCTGTATCTTCAGCCATGTCTTATGACGAGCATCCACTTGTTGCTATGATTGTGTGCTCTCCACACTGACTCAAGTAAAAAACATTTCTGGTGGCAGCATCATACAAAATAAAAGCAGTAGTGTGCACCCTGTGTAGCATCATAAGGTGTTTAATATTTCCGTTGCTCAAGTGAACATGACTGGGCTGGGAGTTTTCTGCTTTTCTACAATAGCAATAGCAATCCCCATGGTGCTGAAGATATTTGCAATAAATGGTGCTGTGGTTGATTTAAGGACTTCAGTGATTCTCAATATCATTTATTTCTTTGCATATTCCAGAAACATAAACAGCACTCTTTTATAGGAGCTACCAGTGTGAAATGTACAATCAATTCTTATAACAGAAGACTTGGATTTACACACTGAAACTACTGACTGCACTGAGCATGTCTGATACTTCCACCTGGAAGTTTTGTTGGAGTTGCGATTTATATCCCGTAAAAAAAGAGGATCTGAATCTTACTGTGTTACATTCATTTTACACTGCAGAATCCCACCAGTTTTGGGAGAGATGGACAACTCTAAAGCTGATGTGAGGAAGTGCTGAGCGTTCTGATTTCGCTCCCTCCAAAAAATTCAGTTCCACGTACGGCTATTTTATTTTCTATCTGAAAGCCATTGGTGCTGCCTATGGATACAAAATAGTCTTTGACCTAGTTACTGATTTTAGAATCCAAATGAAGGAACTGAATTTCTCATTAGGAAGTGCATAGTCTGCTTTTCATGAAACTTTTATGTTTATAAATAGATGTATTGGAGACAAGAGAAATCCTAAACCAGCTAGGATTCAAGAGAAGGGCAGCTTAGCTACAGTAAGAATACATACTGTATATATGTTGATAGTTTTCAAATGTATGACAAAAAAATAGCTCAATTCATTAATAAACACCCTCCGTGAAATCTCTCTCTTACAAACCCTTTCTTCTAATTAGTACCATTAAAGTGGTTATGGTAAGCATAAATTTAACTATCTAAATGGAAAAAGAAATGCCTGGAAGTAAATTTGCTACAATAAGAAGCAACACAGTGGAGCCTTGCTGCCATGTTTGCAGTGGTGGTAGTATTCACAGAGGTTAGGGAACTTTCTTTACTGGTAACTGGGTAGATTTCAACTCCTAAATGGCTGGCTCCAAGGACACAGGTAAAGAAGGAGAAATTGGACTTCAGTCCTGATTTTCTTACATCCTAAACACCCATACTACATTGAATTGGAATGTGAGGCTTCAGATGAGGCCTCAGGTCCAGAAGTTCAGATCTTGACAGTGTAAACGCTAAGGATCATACAAGCTTCATATTTCTTGGTTTGTCATTCAGTGCTAAATTTCCCAGTCCATACAAGCATCTGTCTATTGGAAACGTGCTTTGCTGCTTACGCCTGCTTTGGATTCATAACACTATGCTAACTACAAGTCTACCCTTGGTAGTTGGTCTCAACACCAAAGTTAGAATTAATGTTCCTTCTGTACAGTGTTTCTTAAATGAGAAAAGAGAAAAAATACCATTATTTTGTCTATATGCAGTAAAGTCTTCCTTTACTTCATTCAGTCTGATAAACAATAGAGTGCAGCAGCTAAAACATATTTACCTTTGAGAATACTATTTTAAGGGTAAAATCAACTGCTAGAAACAAAAATCAACACAAAAAAAGCTTTTCAATAATTTTGATCAATATTCCTCAGCTTTCATTTGGAAGGTAATACTTCTCTCTATGCATATACTTATTGTAGTCATTCTAATATCAACAACACTTATTCACATGCATCCTCTATTATAAAGTCCTCCTTTCTTACCATTGAAAAGTAATTTTCATAATCAGGCAGGCTTTTCTCTTATCAAAACAGAAAGGACAGTATCTTCCATTTAAAAATACAGCAAAAATGTAACCTCTTTTGGTGAGAGGAAAGTGAAGGGAAGGAAAAAACTATCATTTTGAGGATGAGATGAGACATTATATGCCAAGTTTCAAATTGGAAGAGTACATTTTTACTGTTGAGTTATAAACCTGTAAAAACAGGTTATAATGGAAATGCTGGCATAGGCTGCACTACTATAATACAACAGTGCATCACTAAATCACAAGTAATGGGAAAAAAACCCCAACCAACCTACGTGTTGAAGAGAGTGCTATAGAAGGTGTATGTCCTTTAATTACAAGCTAAAGGGAAAAATCTTCCTGCCCTATTCTCAGGCAGAAACGACTCTATATGTAGCAGAACTGTTTTTGTGCTACAGTGAGTGAACACCTTATCAGAGGCAAAACGTCAGGGTTTGGAGGTGATGCTGATAGCCTTGGTGGAAATACACCCAGACTGGGAAACATGCATTTGAATTATGAAGGATATCCTCAGCCATCCGATATTTACTTTATAACATCTTTCATTATCCTAAAAAAATAAACAATAGAAATGAGTGCCTGTCATGTACAGCTGCAGACAATTCTGACAGGGAATATCTACACCATCAACAAATTTCAAAAATGAAAGTTGTTCATTATGCAAGATGCCAAAGACTCATTGTCAATCCCCATCTCAGGTATCCTGCGTGCCTAACATATAGGCAAGAAGGGACCTTCAAATGTGCCAGAAGTACCTAATTGCACAGGAGTAAAATAGCACACACAAATGGCTAATAAGTCTGTATTCAAACTTATATATTTTTTAATTTTTATATAAAGCTCTTATCTGGTGACAAAAAGATCTACGGGAATTCCATCATTAAACAAAAAACAAGCAAGGCTGGGTTGATAAAAAGCCTAATTAAAAAAAGAAAGAAAAGCAGCTTAAAATAACTGGTTAACCATATGGAAAGAGGTATGAGATCTTTTCTACTGAGATACAACAGCATTTGCTAATGACTTACACGCTCAGCTGTGACATGCCTCTGACTGTAAACCAAAGTTACCTAAGATGGGTTGACACTCACCACGGCTTCGCAGGCAACTATAATTCAGTAATGTGGGATACTCTGACGACGCTGCCCCCACACTGCCAACAACCTTGCACTCACTTAAGCTTTTATATTCTGTAAAAATGAACATCTGCTTTTACAGAGAATCTTACCGCTGTGGTAGCACAAGCAGATGATGATATTTAGAGATAATCATAGTCATGCGCCTCCTGATGAGCTTCAATATCCTGTCCGTTAGTCACACAAGCCTTGTTTTGGTCTCCACAACCTTTAGCTTTTAATACTCGAACTAAAGTGTTAGACTTAGTCAAGAGCTGGTACAGAAATCAACTGCATATCCAGAAAGAAAAAAACTCTCATCATCAAAAGCAAATTTTTACTTATTCCTTTCCTAGAAAGAAAGGCGAACCAGGATCAGAAGAGGAGCTAGTGGCTTTCCGAAAGGAGAAAGGAATATTGCTTATAGAGAGATTTCTCCTCCAAAGGAGTCTGGGGACCTCCATATTTCCTTCTAATCCCAATGCCTCCTAGAGGAGTCCGATCATATATATCCTTGCTCATACATACCCTAACCTAGTCTTGTCTTGCCCTACACCTAATAACCATCACAAAATCCTCCCAAACCTAGTAACTCACTGCTTCCTATCCCCCAAAACCCTCTACTTCCATCCTTTGCAGACACTATAACCCTGAATTTTTTCCCAGAAATGCTATTTTGCAATTATGCATCCAGCTTCCACAAATCACAGCACTACATCATTAAAACATGCATTAAACACTGCAGCAGTATCTCACCAGGAGTCAGCACACACATTATTTATGGCTTGTCATTCAGCAGTATTTTTATATAACCACTACAGCATGCGTATCTATGTTACTCACAGCAAGGAAAAGGTCTGACCGGGGATGGTTCCAAATGGAGGTGAGCTTTAATTTGGAGGGAGGGGAGGGAAGGAGAAGCATGTAAAGGGAACGGAATGCATTAGATCTGAATGCAAACAGGCACAGAGTGAGCATCTGAACTCAGAAACCAATCCTTTGCTGTTAGCTACATACTTTGGGCCTTATGTGCTTTATGGAACATATTGCTTAGACATTACAGCGAGAGACAACAGAAGTATCGTTATGATAGGTATCTGCTATGTGGGTTGTTTTTTCAGTTAATTTTAAGAAGTGTGCCTTTGCCCTCTCCTTAGATGCCTGGTTAGTTATGCCCATATTAACAAGCCTTTCTGAAGAAGAGGGACAGATCTTCCAGAATACATCCTTCAAATGACCACGCTTCTGAAGTAGCTGTAACAAATGAGGGTGCTTGCTCTTTTTGTTCTTCTTTTGTGTTGATTAGAGAGATTTACTATGCAACTAACCTGTTTTTCCAACAGCGGGACACAAAC